AATCAATACTATCAATGGCAAGATGAGAAGTGGTTCCAAATCAATACTAGCAGAATCAGAGAGTGTGTCTCAATTCATGGGCTGGGTCCTCATGAGCACGTAGCCCAGCTGGGCCACGTGGGCCATGTCCTCCCTGGACCAGGTGCTCAAAACTGGTGTGAAACGAGACAGTCTACCCTTCGCCTGATGTCAGCTTTACGTAAGTTTGCGTGACCACCGCTCCCCTGTTACAATAGTGATCGGTTTTATATCAGACTTAAAATGCGTTGGGACATGTATTTACACATCTTTTTACTGGAAGAATAACTTCACAAATAAAACGTTACACGTAAATAAATGAAAAATGTTTTTTAATAATTCAGGTTTAGCTCCAGTATCAGCACTTATACGTAGTTGCATTTTTTTTAATGTAACATCTTATTGCAGGATAAATTTCATCAGCTATGTTGTTAAACTTGTTTTAAAAAACAAATTCTTCGGTCCGTGGTGAATTTACAAACTACGCCGACTCATTAAAAAAATAATAAAACTCCACCGTCTTCATTTCTCTGTTTATTTTGCTGCCCGCATTGAATCCTGGGATATCCTCGGCCAGCGAGGATGCACCGATACATCTTCAGATTCAGAGAGTTTGTCGGCTGCATTCCTCAGCCGCATGATGAGGAGCCTTCAAATTGGGACAGTACTCGTCGCGGGGCAGTGATGTATGCGGCCGACAAATATGCACTCAGATTGTTTTCAGTGTTTACATTTTATTTGCACTACTGACTTTATTTTTCACAAAGAAAAAAAACTGTCAGAGTTTCTTGTTTGGGATTATTCATTAGTCCTCCACATTGCTCCCGTGTGCAATGGAAATTATTGATATTATTAATTATAATACATTGTTGCATCTTTCTTGTCATTTTGCACTGGTGAATTTTTTCTTATTTTGTGTAGTAGAAGGTAATAGGAGAATTATTTTGTTAACCCTAAAATCTTTGTTTTTTTTTAATCAGAATCAGGGAATTAAAAGTAAAATCATGTAGTCATTCAATGAACATGACAAGTATCGGAATAGACAATATGTATTTACTTGGTATCGGATCGATAAAAAAAACCCACCCCTGGTAAATGTGTAATTCTGTGTATTCAAACACTTTTGCTTCAGTGCAATGCTCTTTTGCTCTTTTAACCAWTAAAGATTAAAAAGAGGCAAATAGAAACAATGTGAACAAACTTTGGAGGAGTTTTTAAATTCTCTCAGCTGAGGGCAACATCTTTAGAAAACCAGATTTACTGGTAACCCATGGCACACTTAGTAACACTGCAATTAAAATGTAGGAAAATAGCTTTTTCACAGATGATGAAAAAAAATTAAAAACGTAGCATTAACATAAAGAAAAGATTAAATGACGAAACCTTGCATTAACCTTTAGTTCAGAGGAGCCCAAAGTGGGGCCCGCGGGCCAAATTTGGCCCACCAAGCCATTTGATTTGGCCCACCAACAGTTGCCAAAGTTACAAGGTTGTAACCTGTCATCCTAGAAACACAGTATTTCCATTGGTCAAATTACTATATAAAGGGTTTAATGTAGTTTTCATTCATGGTGCTGACTTTATTTTTGATATATTAGGATTAAATGGGAAACATGAAGAACAACAAGATATATTTAGATCAGATTTAACCCCACATTTAGATTTGCACACTTTATAAGGCCACAAAAACTCATATTTTATCAATTTGTGAAATGTCCCATGAGCCTTTGCTACTTGAGCGTATGGCAGACTTTCTCCAACTGCACAGGCTAAAACAAAAGAGGGCCATTGCACTGGCTGCTCGCTTAATTGGTAAAAAAAAAATAAAGGACTTTACTTAAAAAGTATTTGTATATATTATTTGGCCCACAGCCGCGGATAGATTTTCATTTTGGCCCTCTCGGGAAAAATGTTTGGGCACCTCTGCTTTAGTTACTTTGCTGTTGATGGCTGTGCTACTTATGCACTTTAAGTGAGTTACAGCTTAAAGCTACATTTAAGTATCCCACTGCTTTTAGGAAGTTATTGTTGAATGTTGCAAAGCGAGTACACAGTATTCTTTTGAATCACCRGGAAACAAATCCATTAGACGACTCAGTGTTTGGATAGCTAAAGTTGTGCTGCTTGCCTGATCTGCTCAGCCCTCACCAGCTCCTGGCAGTGCACAAACAGCTACGAAAACTCAACCATCCTTTGAATGCACCATTAAAGTGGGAGATAAGCCACTCGGGGCAGTAAATAAGAAAGTAGGGCAGAGGGCAACTTGGAGCAGCTTGTGTTGGTTCACAACCAAAACCAAATTTTAAGTACCTAAAAACAGATATGCACARATCCTTCTGATGCACATAGATGGAACTGACTAAATTATTAATAACACCAGGAAATTCATGTTCAGATTTTGCTGTGTCTACTTGGGAGAGGAAAACCAGAATCCATCTATATTTGGATCCAAAAATAAATAAATAAATAAAAAATAAACGTCTGAACAAAGATAAAAGGTTTGATTGTCTTGTTGTGAGGCATCATCTTTATAGCAAATCGCCATGAAACAGTCAACAGAACATAAAGTCACTCACACACACACACACACACACACACACACACACACACA